CAGGGTTAAAAGGAAGTTGGCTGTTAATATTTTTCAGCAGCGGCGGCGCCGACGTCCCGGAGAGAGCTATGGGCTATCACATGACTATCTGCATAAAATATTGGAATCGTAGCCATGAAAATGAGCAGCGCTTTCATTCCTGTACGCTCCGGAGAATGACCATGCAGCTTGGAGACGAGCATAAATGAGGGACCCACTCCTGCCCTCATTCAAAGACATGGCAGAACTCCTATTAACTTCAATGGGAGCAGGATCAAGCCCCAAGAATGATTCTGAGTGTAAAGATAAGTCAATTGACGGAAAACATCTTGTGTAGCGTCATAAAAGTCACCAGTTAAATATTGAAAACAGGTTGCATTTGAATGTTGCCAACTGGTACAGGCACAAAAAGAGCCAAACATCTGCCAAATAATAAATAAAAATAGAACCAAGGTGACTTTTAATAAATAACAGAGTATAAGCAACAAGTTCAGCAGGTGGCTGTTAACTGTTGTAATATTCATTATACCTGGAAGTCATCCAAACTGTAAATAGGATAAGTAAGCACACTTCCTGTAGGATGTGCATTACAATTTATTTAATATTATACCTTTGTTCCAACTGACTAGATTGTGCCCCTTTGCACACTCTACATTTAACACACAATGTTTTGGCTGAAACAGTTGCTTTAATAGATTTAAACTGCATTTATAAATGTAACTGGTGTTTAAATTTGTAAACAAAACAAACCAGATACATCAGGGGATGCTAAAAGTCTGACTCAGCTGTCATTTTTAATTCCATATAATATAAAATAGGTTGTGTGCTCTCCGACAACTTACCATTGTAATTATGATTTGACAATGGGCAGATTACAAAGAAAAAGGCTCTCATATAAAACAGCTGCAGTGTCTGGAGAATGGAAATATGGGGCCAGGGATGAAATAGCTTCATGTCCTAACTTGCCCCATTTCTGATGCACAATGAGGGGGAATCACTCAAAAGGAGAGAGAGGGGGAGAGAGATTTAAAATGAAAAGTAATGCCAGAAAAAAATACAACACTTTTCTTTTTAATTTTCAGGTGAATTTAGTCCTAGTGAAAGAAGGTGTCCTACTGAGACTCTCAAATAAAACTAATTATCCCCATGACAGGTACACATTACACAGTAACAGTCCAGCCTTTCCCAACCCTCACTTCCAGAGGCCACCTCTGGTCCACATGAATTAATACAACTTAATGAAGGGACCCAATTTAAATACTATAATTTGTAGCTCGGTTGGCACCTCATATTCTTATTTGTACTAGCCTCCACCTCCCCTTAAAATTTCCCAACATTCATGCTCTGAGCAGGTTTATGTAATACCATGGTTAAATGATGGCACTAGAACTGGTTGAAAAATAAGTATGTTTTGTGAAAAATGTTAGAGAGACAAGGTGGGTGAGGTAATAGCTTTTATTGGGCCACCTTCTGTTGGTGAGAGAGAAGGAACAGTTGGTACAATACAAGATCCATCTCTCATCCACCTAGGCTCTCTTAACATCCTGGGACCAACATGACTGCAACAACACTTCATACAACAGTGAAAATGACATTTTCTGATTTTTTTATTGAAAAATCTTTTTTGTTTTGTTTTTGCTTTTCCCCACTGAAAAGCGGGATGGTGAGACCTGAAATGTGAGGGAGGAAGGGGGGAAAGGAGGCAAAAAGAGGGAGGGGAGCTGGAAACCAAAAATTTACAGATGAGGGTGTTTTTTCTTTTAAAGAATAGTTATGTGAATATATTTGGTTTGTGAAAAAGGGCATTTCTCATTGAACTGGGTTTCAAAGAATTTTGGCCAGCTATAGCTGGCACCCATTCTCACAATTGCTGTCACAAGTTGAGAAATTTAGGTCTGGGGAAAACTAATGTTGACACACGCTAAAGCCCTGTCTATAACATAAATGTTTATAATCAACTTTAGTATGTATGTAAGAGGGGTGCCATTGTTACCTATGTTTGAAGCTGTAATGTAGTCTGGGTTTAAGCATTTTAATACTGTTCCGGTTAGCCTTTCTTGGAGGCAGATTCAGTCTATCTAGTTTTAAATATGGGTTGCGTGGAGATTATGGAAGATGGCAAATGATGCTTACATAGATCCCTACCTAAGCTAGAACACAGGCCATTGTTTGCCCTGAAGGTTTTGTGGAAAACCTCCCACTTTTTTTTTTCTTGGTCATTTTCACAATAATTTACATTTGCCATTATGCACATCGTGTATCCATTTAATCAAGAAAAATGCTAATTAATTCAACCCTCAGTAGAATAATTGCTATAAAAATGCCCTTGCTACAGTCTGGTATCCACTTCTCTGCCTACATTGTGTTTGATACACCTAGCCAAGCAAGGTTTGTGTTCCCATCTTTGTTGTAGCACTGGTAAATTTTAAAGTGAGAGATGGGATAAATATTATCCAGGCTGTAAAAAGATGGGGACTCCAAGACATAGAAAGATTTGAGGGCTAGATTGCAGCACTTGGCCACAGAAGCCACAATCAAAATCCAGCCCCAGTGCACTAGATGGTCTAAAAACATGTACAAAGACACAGTTCCTGCTCCAGTGAGTTTACAGTTTAAGTAGATAAGTGACCTAGGGATAGTGATGCAACCAAATAGAGAAAGCATTTTAAATTTCAAATATATATGTAAATTATGTATATAGCATATTAAATAGATAAAGTGTCAATGATCCCCATCTAGCCAACACTGATTGGTACAATTGACATAGGCAATTTAAGGTTTCAGAGTAACAGCCTATGCATCCGAAGAAGTGGGCTGTAGCCCACGAAAGCTTATGCTCCAATAAATTTGTTAGTCTCTAAGGTGCCACAAGTACTCCTGTTCTTTTTATAGGCAATTTAGTAGAGGTGAGTCTTGAACAGTTATTTGAAGGAGAGTGTAGAGGCCTTAAAAAGTGCTGCAGGATAGGAATTCCTTGCATAAGGAGCAGTGTGGAAGAAAATACAGAGATTTGTGTGAAATGCTGACAAACCAGCAGAGCAGAGTAGGACAGTGTGAACAAGTAGGGAGGGGCAGAGCTGTGAAGGGTCTTAAAAGTCAAGTTTGAACTTCATGCAGTGAGTTAAGTGGAGGGATTCAAAAAGGGGGGTGAAGTGCCAGGAGTGCTGGGAAAGGAGAATGCTTTTACCAACTGTTTTGAATGGACTGGAGAGTGTGCTGTAGATTTCGGGAAGGTTGCAGTAAATAAAATATAAGATGATGAGGGTCTGGGCTGGAGTTATGGAAGATGAACCCTTCCCTTACAGGTTTGATTGACGGAGATGGTGGCATTGTCAATGGTGACAGAAATGACAGGTCAGGAGATGTTAAACTGAAGTGAATAATGAGAAATCCAGCAGGTGTGTCAGAGTAACAGGCCAAGTTCCAGGATTTAATGTAGAAATCGAAAGTGGAAAGATACGTTGGAGTGAGGATGGCTATTGAAATTGAGCAATCAGAGGAGAGCTCACAGAAGGAGGGCATAGACAGAAGAGCAAGAAGACAAGGACAGTGGGGGTGGGGGAGGTACAGAGGTCCTGCCCAAGGAGTGTCTGAAGGGAGAGGTAAGAATAGAAGGAGAGAATAGTTTTGAAATCCAAAGGAGGACAAGAAGCTGAATGTGATCAACAATGCAAAAACATGAGAGAGGGCAAGGCAGATGAGGATGGAATACAAAGCCTGAGATTTAGCCAGGACACTTATTGTCCTTTCATAGTTATATAGTACATATATGAATCTAAAATCAATCATATTACACTAATACGATATGAAAATGAACAAACAGAATAAATCCATAATTATATAAAATATAGACATTATCTATATAATAGAAAATGGGAATCAAGAAGAAGCTGGCCTACTTAAACACTCCAATTTACATGCCGATTATTTCACACCCTTCCCTTTCTGAAGTCGCTTCCTGAGTCTAGACATTCAAGGTGGGTGAGGTAATATCTTTTGCTGGACCATAGTTGGTCTCATCCACCTTGTCTCTCTAATATCCTGGGATCACCAGCTACACTATCTCTTCCTATATCTGTAATTTATAGTCTGACTGATGCTGCTGCAAGTGGTAGACCATAGCAATCCCAGTGAAGTCAAAAGGAGTTCTGTGCATGAAGAGTGTGTAGAATTGGATTTCATCCTGCAGCTAAATAGTAATGGCTGTTGTAGCAAGCAAGCACTATGCCCAGCAATAAGATGCCTGTACTGCCCAATCCTGAAATTTGTTGTGTGTGGGCAAATCCCCTATTGAAGTCAATAGGGCTCTGTGAGAGTGCAGCAGTCTGACTGCACAGAGTCAAATCCAGGATCAAGTCTTTAGATTGCCAGCCCTTTGGGGCAGGGAGTTTTTTTTATATATCCATAAAGCACTATGTTCCCCTCCACCCTGTCAGAACAGTCCAAGTAAAACAATGGCTCATAATTAGCTGTTAAAACATATATGTATAAATCTTAACAAACCTAATTTCTGGACTTGTAAAATCTCAAACTTAAATTAGACCTGTGGAAATCTTAATTGGTACTCCGTTGTCTGCAGAAAGTAGAAATTACCAATTCACTCCAGTATAGTTTTCTTAAAATATGAATTGAATAAAGTACATTTCTAAACACCCGATCCTTTTAGAGAAAAGCTCTTTAAATTCCCGATTGTCTTTTGAAGCTTCTGTGAGTTCAAGCAATAAGTGCCATTTACATAGGGATAGGATGTAACAAGTATTGTAAATCACTTACAACAGAGTTCACTAATCTATTGGCAGACATTGTGGAGCCAACCCTAACCGAGCTTTGGAAAATGTGTGAACAACATCTTTTGTGGGGGAGACCTGATGGCAATTAGACGATACTTATCTGGGCCTTTGATGTTTGTTTACATAAACAACATTTTCCTTGGGACTCCCTTTATAAAAGAAGCAACCTAGAGAGAGGCATTCTCTGACTCCATCCTCCCTTAGCTTGTCTTGAAATAGAAGACCGCCAGGATGACCAAGGCCCCTTTCTCTGTAGAGTGGCTTTCCCAGAGCAGCCAGGACACCTATGAACCACAGCAAAGGCCCAGTAGCTACGGAGAAGGCACTCAGGGCAGGACTTTTGCATCACATGGATTGCTCACCCGGATCGAAAATCCAGTCTGCAACTCCAAAACAAACCCACAACCGCACCAAACCGCAAGCCAAACAGGGAAGACGGGTGAACGTATAAAGACCCCGGACACCTCTTCTAAGAACGACCCCAGGAGTGAGAAGCTTTTGGATTCTTCCTCTATAGGTGATTATAATTGCATCTACTATTGTGCTTTAAAGACCATCCCAATGTATGCTTGCCCTTGTTATCTCTTCAGTGAGTAGAGGGAGGGAAGAGAGTTGAGTTATAACAGTGAGTAGAGGGAGGGAGGAGAATTGTGCATTATTCTTTGCTAAGTGTATTGGGACACAAAGGGTGAAATCCTGGCCCCACTGAAGCCCGTGGGAGTTTTGCCGCTGACTTCAGTAGAGTTGGGATTTGACCCAGGGGATGGTCTTAAGTGACCGGGCATAGGACGAGGAGTCGGGATTCTTGAGTTCAATTTCCTCGACTACCACAGGTGCCAGATCTGACAGTGGGCAAGTCATCTGATCTCCCTATGCCAGTCTCCAAGGGGAGTCCTTTGGTTTGACCGTGGTAACACGCTTGGCGCGCCTATGGGGCCAGGAGCTATGTGGGTGCGAGGCACTAGCTGAGCCCTTCCATTTAGGAGATAAGAATCGCCTCGGAAAACTGCAGATTTCCGTGCCAGGAAAAGCCTTTGTCACCTGCCCGCAGCTGGCGTCCTTCCGTGGTGTATAATGGCCGAGGGATGCGTGAGCCCTGCAGCCCCCTCTAGGTCGCCAGCCACTGGAGTGCTCTGAGCGGGGCTGACCTGGTTCCTCTCTGTGCCCAGCAGCAGCACCAGCCGCAGCCAAGCGGGCGTGGAGCGCCGCGGAGTCCGGTTCCGACTGGGAGAGCGGCCGCTCGGAGTGCCAGTCCCCCGAGGAGCCCGGCGGCAGGGGCAGCCGCCGCTTGCGCACCGCCTTCAGCGTGGAGCAGATCAGCACCCTGGAGAGCTCCTTCAAGCGCCACAAGTACCTGGGCTCAGCCGAGCGCCGCAAGCTGGCCGCCAAGATGCAGCTGTCGGAAGTGCAGGTGAGCGGGCCGGGCGGCTGGCTGGAGGCCGGGCCAGGGCGACGGAGCCCGGGCCGGGCTCTCTGGGGGCGCCTGGGTGACACTGTTTCTCCTCCCCACAGATCAAGACCTGGTTCCAGAACCGGCGCATGAAGCTGAAGCGGCAGCTGCAGGAGATGAGGCCGGAGCCCTTCTACAGCCCCGTCCCCTTCGGAACCCGGGCCGGGACTCTGCCCCTGCACTACGTCTACCCGGCTCAGCAGCAGCTCCTGGCTCACCTCCCCAGGCAGGAGGCCGTACCCGCCAGCTTCGCCTTCCCAGCACTGCCAGCCTCTGCCCTGAGCCCCGCCAGCACGTTCCGGGGGGAGCCTGGCTTTTGGCAGGCGCCCTGCTTTGTGGGCTACAGAGACTCCAGGGCCTTCTTGCTGCCCATTTGAACCCGCTGGGCTGGCCTGTGACTCAGAGAAGGATTTGCACTAACGCTGGCTCTGCGGAGTCGCCTAGGCGTGCAACTGCCTGCTGTGTTTGTGATGCGATCCCCTTGTACATAGCGACAATAATTTATACGGACACTTACATGCGGATAATGGGGCCAAGTATAAAACCGAACACTTACCAGCTTTCGCTCTACTTCCTTGCACAAGACCACGGGAGCCCTTACTTGCCATAACCGTGAACACAGCCTCTTTCTTTCTTTCCTTCCTTCCTAAATTCAGGATGTCAACTAATCTGCAAAGCCCTGACCCAAACCGAATCCTTCCCTTCCATGGGACCCGGAATAGGCTCCTATATAGATTTGCAGTTTGAGCTGGTTTAATAGTCTCTGCTTGGAGACCACCTTTTAAGGAAGTGGGTTAAGAGTTTAAGAATAATAACGGGGAGAAACTCAATACCCTGCCAAACCACCCAGCAGCCAACAGTGTTGAACCTTGCAGTATGCACACAATGGGTGAAATCATGTGCTCGTGGCAAAATTCCCATTGACTTCAATGGACTTGACTGCGTCCAGGATTTCACACCGTGTTGAGTTTTAGTGCTGCTGCCTGATCCTTGTTACAGAGGCTCCTATACTTGCCCTGTTCTAGTTAAAACTGTTACTATTATAGACACTCCATCATTATCCAATTTAAATCACTAGAAGTGAAATCCTAGGTCAATTGAAGTCAATGGGAGTGACTTCAGTGGGGCCAAGATTTCACCATAGGAAGTTTGCTACTGACACAAACAGGAACAAGATTGGGCCCTGTGTCTTCAACTACTCCCTGGGTGGCTCTGCTTCTATTTTATTTAATCTGATAGCACTAATATATACTGACCAGAGGATTCATTTTCAGATTTATTCATGCATCTAAAATAAAGTGTTAATATTAGGGAAATCAGCTTCCTACATTTAAGCATACAATTATAAGTCTAAGAGATCTGACCAAAATAGGGCCTGCCGCTCTTATTCACATGAAAAGCAGATAGCTGCACCAGTAGGATTACTCTTGTAACCTTGAGCAAGGGCTTTCAGGATCAGGCCAATCACAGTAGTGACTGACCTGGAGGAACTGCTATGTTTTGCAAGATCAGAAAGGAATGGAAGACAGATTTACATGAGAGGCCCTGATAGTCTGTGGTGGAACAAGTGTGACACTGACAAAACTACATATATGTGTGCATAGCAGACTGGCTAGTGCACATTACCTTTTAATATTTATACACTAGTACTACATTTTAAATGTATTTTTGTGCTAGCCAACCAATTATTGGGGAATACCTTTTAAAAGACCCACCCAAAGTGTCTAGACAAATTAGGCAATTAGTAGGCATTTTTTTAAAGTATAAAATTTTAACTCCCCATCCTGAAAAACACCACCCAGCCCTTTAAGATTTCTTTGATACCAAGTACCGTGAAAGGGTACTTGTCTTTTTGTTTGTTTTTTTTTATTTTAACAAATTAACAGGCAAGAATAAATAATCCCTAGCTCAACCAAGTGTAGTTAAATGACAATGTTAAAAATATAGATGTTTTTGGAAATGATGTGCATCTGGGAAGCCTTCTGAAAAGTAACACCATTACTCACATGAACTGATCCCACCCAGACTAATCCAGATTTACGTTTCTATTTACTCTTATCATTGATCCAGCCTTGCAGCTTCTTCATCAGTTTAGACTCCTGTCAGTCTGGGGTCCCACCATAATGATACTCGGAAACTCCATAGTATCAACCAGGTGTAAGGTTGCCTACAATAAAATCCAAAGATAAAAGTATTGGTTAGTCTGGCCCATTTATATTTTGCTGTGAGATTCACTGTTGTTGTTGTTGTTTTTAATTTAAATAATACTACTACTTTAAATAAATTCACACTCAGCATGGAAATCAATGGAAATGGGGGGGGGATAAACTGGAACAGGGCCGCTCAGAGGATTCAAGGGGCCTGGGGCAAAGTGGGGGAGCTGCGGCGCTTGTACTCACCCGGCGGCTGTCCGGGTCTTCGGCGGCAGGGGGCCCTTCAGTGCTGCCAGAAACGCGGAGCGACTGAAGGGCCCCCGCCGCCGAAATGCCGCTGAAGACCCGGACTGCCGCCGGGCCAGGGCTTGCGGGGCATTTGAGGGGGGGGAGAGGCTTCAGTCGCTCCCCGTCATCGGCAGCACTGAAGGCCCCCCCCCCCCCCGCCGAAATTCCCCCACTCCCCCCCCCCCGGGCGGCCCTGAACTGGAAAGGATTGTTCTAGTTTCATTGACTTCAACTGAGTTATAAAAAGTTACACCAACTGAGGAGCTACCCCAAGGTATTTTGAAAGACTCCATTGGTTTCAGATCAGGTCTCCTCTACTGCATCCCTTTAAGCTGCTCTGACCGCTTGGCACATGCATATGGCTTTGTTTTGCTTTCTCCCTTGTGCACTCCTGAATAGACTGGCCTGGTGCTGAGCTAGAATGCATACAAGAGACTGTAAACTTGGTCTTCTGAACAGGATCCCTAGTATGGAAGCTAAATCCATATTTTGAGGGGTTTTTTTTAAATATGGCTCTTAATGCTCTTAATATTCTCTGTAATGTTCAACTCAGGGAACATGTCAACATTTCCTGTTTAAAACTCCATCTTAATATTTGCTTGGGGGGGTGTGTGCAGGAAAAATAGAGGTTTGTGGATTTAAATGTTCTTCTGGGCTATAAGAAATAAGCCTAAAGTTTGCCTGCTATTAGTGAGACCTTTTAAGAAATCAAAAGCAAAATGAGTGGATTTCACTGAGGAAAGTATTTTGAATACAACCTAAATTAGTTGTAGATGTAAACGTTATTTCTGAAATGCAAAATGTGTCCTCCTGAAGTAGCTACATTGATCAACAGAAGGAAGATGAAAGCCAATCTTCTGGGATTATGAAGTGCACCTCTTCAATGCATTAATGTATTAAGATATCTCCAAGGAAGCCTTCATATGGTAGATATCTTATCAGGTCTAAAGCAGCCAAATTTTAAGGAGGGTCAAACAGTCAATGTCTATAAATATACATGTTTACAAGAAAGCCTCTAAATTTATCTGCTTTATTGTGTCTGTTATATATTTCATGGGATTATTGCTATACAGGCAAAGATTGGAGTAACTCACTAAAACTATAAAACGGGGCATGGAACTCAGCTTCAAAATGCCTTTTTTGGATGGGGTGGGCGGTTTCTGCTTTTCCTGCCTGGAAAAAAATGAAGTTTGAATGTGTTAGTGACTGGCATAATTCGCCTGCCCTCAAGACCCACCCACCCAGTAATTATTTCCCCAGTCTCATCTGAAGGATGGGGAGCCTCCTGGCAGTTGGTCTGACTGGCAGGGAGGAGATAAAGCATGGTTGAAAGAAGGGGGAAAGGGGAGACAACTGAAAGGAAAAAAACAGGAGAGGAGAAGGTGATGAAGCAAATATGAGTCAGAAAACCCGACTCGAGAGGGAGAGCGCGCAGCCCTCCCGAAACAGGTAGTGCTTCTATGGGAGGAGGAGGGGAAGACATGGGAGTGGTAATCAGGAAACTCCATCCCAGGGCCCATAACACAAGTTTATAAGGCCCTTGGGAAGAAGCGACTGCGAGGCTTTCACAACACATTTTATGAAGAACCAGGGCTCATGGAAGCTCCCCTAGAAATTCAAAACCTGGAGCAAATCCTCCTTTCCATAGCATCTTCCCCTATCCCTTCTCTTCCCCCCACCCCAATTTCACTCAGAAATAGCTGCCCTGCTCACAGCCCCTCCCATGTACTTTGTCCCTAGGATTCCATCCCTGGGGTTTGAGAAGGCACCTCAGGCCCAGGGCGAGACGCAGAGGAGGAGCCTGCACTGCCTCTTATCACTTCTAGTTGGGCTCCTGTTTAAACCTCTTCATTTCAATAACTGGGTTTAGGACTTTCCACTTCCAAGACAACTGGCGAGTTAGCCATTGCAGTAGCTACTCATTGCACGGACCCCGAAATGACAATGGCTTCTGAAGACCAATAAAATAATTGTAAGGGTCGAGCTATTCAGTAGCTGTGGAATCTGACTGCCTATAAGGTATTACACTTTGTATGTTATCTTCCTCATCTCCAGCATTTCACATACAGGGCAGTAAAGCTACTTCTTCAAACAGCTCCTAGTCAGCTGCCCCTACAGCGCCTGAGGCCAGAGGTGCTGGAACAATTTCTGTAGTGGGGGTGCTGAAAGCCACTGAGCCAAACTGTAAACCCTGTATATGATGGAAATCACTTGAAGTCAGGGGATGCGGGAGCACCTCTAGTGCCGGCACCTATGCCTAAGGCCTCCTTTTATTGTCTAATGGGCTTTTGACCCTTGTCTTCCTAGGAGGGCCCCTTTAGAAGTAGGCTTGAGTTAGAAAAGCAGAAGAATTTTATCATAGTGCAGATACTCAAATACAACCATATCTGGTTTTATAATGAACGCACAATGCTTCACAAACTGATAAATAGCAACTGCTTATTCCCAGTTTCTCTACCCCTACCAGAGCCTAAGACTATATCATGCAGTAATATAACCCCAAGCGTATTGCCTTGCTATGGGGTGCATACATACAATTGCATTCCTAGCGTTCTCCCTTCAACAACAAAATAATACGGTTGGGATAACACCCCATTGTTCTCGATTTCGTTTGTGTGTTGCATGCACGCACATTGTTTGCACTTGTGGAATTTACATCCAGGCAGCTGGAAATATTCATATTTGATAGATACGTTTCAAATTTTAGCTATAAGGGTTAGGCCTGGGTGCGTGAAAACAATGCAGCATATCATTGTGCATTGCAATGATTCCTGAACGGGAGTCCTTTTGTCTTTGGTTTTGCGCGCTGGGAGGAAACTACCGCGAAAAAGAAAGACAGGGCAGAAACACCCTGTCACCAGTTAAAAAGGTGCTAATGAGCACTTTGCATAATGACTATTCAACAACCGCCTGAAATCTTCTAGCATTTGGCAACA